ACATTGAAAGAAAAAGAAACATATCAATGATTAACCTTTTTTTGAACTTTTTAAAAAAGAGTCTTGAGATTTTGGAAGGGCGAAGTGTATGAAAATGCATGATCTTACTGTGGGATACCTTTAGAAGTTTGCCAAAGAGGACTTGCTCATTCACAGACAGACTTTCTGATGGTGACCATGAATTAAATATACACTAAAAGGCAACTTGATAAGAATATTTTCTGCACTTCTTAGTATTTCTGCAAGGTAAGTTCTTTATCACCCTACCTTCCCTTTGCCTTTGAAGGGGATACAGGTGCAGGGTGCCCCCCCACCAAAGAAACACTGGACTGAAATTAAACTATTTTAATTTCCAACTGTAATTGAATGGTTTGTATAGCCCAGAGATTTTCTTAGAAATTAAGATTATACTAGAAGCTACAACTTTTCTTTGCAACATGTTGGGTTGGTTAGTTAGTTAGTTAGTTAGTTAGTTAGTTAGTTAGTTATGTTTTCAAAAAAGTCAGGTGGGACAGAAATTATTAGGCATCAGTGAAATGGTGTTTGGGCCTACAAGTGTTTGTCTACAACTTGTTGTAGACCCTAATACCTCTGAAATCTTGACTTTCAGTGAATTTCACGTTCAAGTCTGCTTTTAACTGTTGCCATTATAAAGTTCATTTCCCAGTTTATTTCTTACTGTTATTATAAAGAGATTTTATGTCATTTTGACAATCACTAAACCACCAAATTTCTGAGAGAATTTCAAACCATTCAGATACATCCTGACAGGTTTGATTTTTAAGAGACCCGTATACAAACCTATTAGACCGTGATGGCGAACCTTTTAGAGACCGAGTGCCTAAAAACTGGCCCCGCCCCTGTTCCACCCACATCCTGTCCACTGCCCCGCCCCCACCCCGTCCTCTGCTCCGCCTGCCCGCAGGCCCACTCACCACCTCCAGGACCCACCGCAGATTGCCCAGGTAGCCCAGCAGCGCCATGGCGGCCACACCCTCTGCCCGTACCCCGCAGCATCAACTGTGCGTGATGGGGCATGAGGGCAGAGTCTTGTCTATGCTGCCTGGCTGCCATGTCCTTGGCTGTGCTGCTCCATGTGGGCCACATTTGGGGGGTGACTCTCCTCCAGGGGGGTTGCTGGTGAGGGGGTCATGGGGGGAGTTGAGGCTGGGGCAACAGCACATGTGCCCACAGAGAGGGCTCCAAGTGCCTCCTCTGGCACATGTGCCATAGGTTCGCCACCACTGTATTAGACCGTTAAGATTATTAAAGGAGATTTTTTACATATCATCACATAAACTGCAGGCTTTTTTTTTCATTTTTCTCTTTACTATGCATGAATCTTTAGTGTGCTATGTTTCCAGTATTTAAATCTCTTTCCTTGGTTTTTTTTCTTTGCATAAAAAATGGGTGCTTTTTTAATTAGTATTGATTAATTTAAAAACATTATTATTATTTTATTCTATTTCATTTTTTATTTTTATTTGTAGGAATTATTTCAGTAGTAAGTAGTTTAAAAGAAAGGTGTTTAAATAGTAAAATAGTACAAACAGTGTAGTACTTTGATAAGAGAGCAATATCTTCCCTATAACAAGCCCAGGTTAGCTGAAATAATCGTAATCTAGTGTTTCTCAGCCTCAGCAATTTAAGATGAGTGGATTTCAACTATCCTAATGCTGGGAAATTCTGGGAGTTAGAGTTTACACATTGTAAAGCTGCTGAGGCTGACAAACATTTATCTAGATTGCTGTGGCTTTAGAATACCTCAGAGAGAGTTCTACATAATTAAATTTATATAATAGCATACATATATACATAGACACCTGAACATTTATGTGTAGAGCTAAGACCAGCAACTTATTCAAAATGTAAATATAAATAATTTGCAGGAATGTAATCCATTTAATTTTTTACAATTACTGTTACTATTACTATTACATAGACATTACATTTGTCTATGTAGTTAGTTATCATAAATAGCATTCTTTGGATTTTTCAGTCATTTCAGCTTCAATGTTGCACAAACAGGCCCAAAATTCTATTCAAAAAAATGACCATGATCTTACTACTGCTGTGTTGTTTTCTTTACATAGAATAATATTAAGGAAGATGAACAACTGAGTTATCCCACAGTGATCTAATTTGCCTTTCATTTTAATTATCCTTCTGCATTCTATTTCTGATTGTACCCAGCAAGCATTATCTGTGTTCCTATCACTTCTTTTGCCATTGTTCAAGCTTAGGAGTGTAGCCAATATTTCAGTTCATCAGTTTCAGCAATAAAAAGAAAAAAACAACAGCACCAAGGAGGCAGATATAATTTGTATACTGAGAAGAGATGTAATAATAAAGTTTGTTTATTACAGCAATTACCATATCTGCTCTCCTAAGCATGCTTTCACAGTTAGAGCAAGAAAGTGTTTATTTCAAGAGCACAGATTTTAGAACATACAGAGGAAAAAAGTCAAGTCAAGCAATTTAGCTGGTTCCAAAACAAGTATCAGGGAGATAAGGGAATTCATCAGCAAGAAGACCAATCAATAGGCAACCATTTCAGTGAAAGATGCAAGCATGATAAGCATTTATAATTTATAATGCAACCTTGTAAGACACCTTGTTACAGCAAAAATCTTTAGGTTCCATGTCTTTACAAATTTATAATTCCAGAGTAACCATCAGCTGACTGTAAGAGTTTTACTGATCTGATTGTAAGATGCTTTGCTACACTCGTGTTACGAAATGCTAGGCTGTGTAGAACATATTCAGCAAGCGAATATCAAAATAACAATAAATGGCATTTCTTGGATTAATCTCAATTAAGCTGTCTGCCATGTGCAGTGTATAATTTGACAAAGTAATTATAATACCCACCAAGACACACGTTGCTCTCATTTTGTATATGCATAGTTTTACACATAATTCATGAAGTATAGCTTCTTTATGTTGATGAAGATTCTCAGTCATCCAGGTAGAGTTGTCTGGAAAATTGCATCATGCTAACTGGACTTACTTTGGGGGGAAAACCCTCAGGTTGGGGCAGGAGGAGTTGGTACATTCCAGTGACTCTCTGCCTAACACACTTGCTCAGACTGAGGAAGCTGCTTGGATGAGCAGCGAAATATCTCAAACCAACAAGAAAATAAGTCCAGTTGCCATGATGCAATTTTCCATATAGCTTGTTTAGCACATTTTTTTTAGTTTCTATAAAATTCCAGTGATTTTTTTAAGGACATATTACTCTTTGTATCTTTATGGGACTCTTCAAATAATGTATACTATGCAATGCAGAATTAGTTAGCTTATTGAAATGTTATTGGAAACATAACCAACCAAACCTTTTGAAATATCTTGGAAGTGGAGGTTGCATAAATAGAAGTATTATTTATAGAGAGATTCAAAATCCTGGCTCCTCAGTATAGTGAATTTAAATAATCAAGAGTTTCATATAGGACTGAAATAACTATCACTTATATGTCACTTATTTTATAATGATTTTACCCTGAGGCTCTATTGTATAAGAGTCTAATGAAATTTTGTTACATCCACTGCTAAATGTATAAAAATCTCCAATTATAAGAATTTTGAAAAATGTTTGGGGAAGAATCCTGCATTACAGTTATATTTCTCTCTCTTTATCAGGTGATCATTTGGAGATAAACCTTAGGAGATAAAATCAGAATTCCATAAAATAAATATGCTATTGTTTTCTTTATTGTTTACAGTTGTATTCACAATGTCATTCATTTATGATAACATTTCATCCTTTTTGTACAGCTGATTTAAAAAAAAAATAAATACTGTATAGTAAGAAAACATGTCTACCACTACTATACCTGAAAACATATTCCAAACTACAAATAGTCTGTTCTAAAAAATTCTCCTACTTATTTCTCTGAAAAGGTATTTAATAGCATGTGGATAATCTATATAGGATGCTCTATCTTCAAGATCATATATACTCATCTTCTTAGCAATATAATATACAATTTATATGGATAAAACTAAATTGTCCTGATAATTCATTGTAAAAAAGTGATTTATTGATACTATGCAAATATGTAAAAACTGCTGGTTTCTATGGCTAATGAGACCAGAAGATTCCTGAAAAATTTATGCATTTCTAAATCCATGATGGAATCTAGAGAGCAAAAAGGAAGACGGGGGGGGGGGGGGAAGTGGGACCTTTATCAGAGACATATTGTTATTGCCCATCCTTCTGATCCAAGTGAGGCTGTTGCTTTGTTTTTTATTGTTATTGCTGGCAGGAATAGCCAACACTCCAGAAGACAGGCTTAAGATACAGGAAGATCTGGACAGACTTGAACACTGGGCACTATCTAGCAAAATGAAATTCAATGGTGAAAAAAGTAGGATTCTACATTTAGGCAAGAAAAACCAAATGCACAGGTATAGTATAGGTGGTACCTTACTCAATACTAGTAACTATGAGAGGGACCTCGGCGTCCTAGTGGACAGTCACTTAAATATAAGCCAGCAGTGTGCTGTAGCTGCCAAAAAAGCCAACACAGTGCTAGGCTGCTTAAACAGAGGGATAGAATCAAGATCACGTGAAGTATTAATACTACTTTATAATGCCTTGGTAAGGCCACACTTGGAATACTGCATCCAGTTTTGGTCACCACCATGTAAAAAAGATGTTGAGACTCTAGAAAGAGTACAGAGAAGAGCAACAAAGATGATTAGGGGACTGAAGGCTAAAGCATATAAGGAACGGCTGCTGGAATTGGGTATGTCTAGTTTAATAAAGAGAAGGATGAGGGGGACATGATAGCAGTGTTCCAATATCTCAGGGGCTGCCACAAAGAAGAGGGAGTGAAGCTATTCTCCAAGACGCCTGAAGGCAGGACAAGAAGCAACGGATGGAAATTAATCAAGGAGAGAAGCACCGTAGAACTAAGGAGAAACTTCCTGACAGTTAGAACAATTAACCAGTGGAACAACCTGCCTCCAGAAGCAGTGAATGCTCCAACACTGGAAGTTTTTAAGAAGAGACTGGACAGCCATTTGTCTGAAATGGTATAGGATTTCCTACCTGAGCAGGGGGTTGGACTAGATGACCTCCAAGGTCCTTTCCAACATTATTAGTATTATTAGTATTATCAGTATCAGTAAGAAGTGAGAGGTCCAGTCTATGGCCACTCACTTATGGTGTGCCATAGGGTTCAGTACTCTGTCTACTCCTTTTTAACACCTTCATGAAATTGCTGGTGGTGCTCATCCACCACCACAGGATGAGATACCATCAGTATGCTGATGAGACTCAATTTACATCTCCATCCCTGATGACCCAAGTGATGCTGTTGCTGCCCTCTCATGGTATCTGGAGGCTGCAGGCATCTGGATGGGATACAACAAGCTTCAACTGAATCCCGGGTAAGATCAATTGATTTTGGCTGCATGGAGTCAGGACTTCAACATCTTTAATTCTGGATAGGGTTGCCTTACCCAAGACAGACCCAGTACACCACTTGGATATTCTCCTGAACCTCTGACTACTATTCAGAGCAGGTGACAGTTATGGCTAGGAGAATCTTTGCACAATTTTGTGCACTCTTCCTGGACTGGGAGTCCCTGAACTCAGTCACTCATCTTATGCTTGGACTATTGCAACACAGTCTACATGGGACTACCCTTGAAGAGTTTTCAGAAGCTTTAGCTGGCACAGAATGCAGCTGCGCAGACAGCGGACATAGGGTGGCCTATGTTACACCGTGTTTTACAAGGTACAGTGATTGCCAGTTTGCTTCCAGATCCAATTTAAGATGTTGGTTATCACCTTTAAAGCCCTTCATGGCAGAAGTCCAAGCTATCTAATGAATCATCTCATCTCAATGGGATTGGCCTTCCCCACCTATGCTGGCAGATTTGGAAGGCAAATTGGCCTTCCAAAAGTGCTAGAAGACCTGGCCTGGGGCCACAATAGGGGCATATTATTCTGGTAGTAGTTAATGGACTTGATAAGACCCCATCCCCATCCTTGCTCCCTTCATCCTCATCTTTATCAATTTTAAACTAATTTAATATTATTTACTGTTTTAATCTTTTCACTGATTTTAATGACCTTAGGCCATCTAAAGCCGCCTTCAGGCAAGATGGGTGGCACATAAGCTGAACAAATAAATAAATAACCACTGTGAAATGTTCCAAGAATTCTAACACATTTTGGGTGTGTCAGTTGCTCGGTGTAATCAATTAATCCAAAATATTTACATAGGGCAGGGCTTTTTTTCTCATAGAACGTCCAGAACGGAGTTCCAGCACCTTTTTTGGATGGAACCTTGTAGGGTAGGCAAGGCAGGTTGTATGACGTGTGAGTTCCGGCACCTTTTTTTTTTTTTTTTTTTAAGAAAAAAAGCACTGACATAGGGTATGTTGATATCTAGTCTACTGTAAAGACACAACTTTAAATTTTACAATTTGTTATAGTATTCTAAAATTGTAATATGGACCATTATAATTACTCCCTCTAGCAAATGCTAGGAGGCACATTTCTGTAAAAGTTGGATTTAAAGTTGTGCTTAGTGACATTTATCTTTTTATATATTATTTTCAGTCCTAAATACAAACAATATCACTATTATCTTCAAAGCTGTCAATATTATTACTCCCACAAGAAAGATGTGGTTAGAGGTACAGAAGAGATAAGTTGCCTACATATGTACTGAGCAGATTCTCAAAGGGGAGGCAGGAGAGAGAGAGACCTTGCTTTCATATGGTTGACAAAGCATTTCAACATATGTCTTGTTTCTTTCCCTGAGAACAACTGCCTTGTCATGCATGCATGCTCTGTATGTGCATGGATATTTATGTGTGTGTATGTTTGTGTATATATTTACGCACACACACACATACACATACATGCACAAAGACACCACACACACACACACACACATACACACCTTTGGTTTGATTCAGACCCACTTCTAAGTTAAATTTAATTATTTCTGGGGACATAGCAGATCTTCAAATCAATGTGAAATGGTGAATTTCAAGAAGCTACCAGCATAATTAATTCAGGTAAAATTTAGATTGCATCTATATGTAAATAACTAGAAAATTTACCAATAGTTCATAGATTAAGTTATTAGTAATATGTCTATGTAAGTGTATCATTTAGTTACCCATACACTTGATTGTGCAAACTAACTGCATATACATTCAATAAATAGATTTAGATTATCAATAATTTCATATATCACAAATGTAAAAACATTACAGCATATAATTTTGCATACTGCATATATAAGGTCTATTGGCTTCTATAGTATTGCAAGATTTGGCCCTATCTTATTTTTTCTTAACAAAAAAACTGATAATATAATTTTAATAAATGCATTAGCAAAAACTTATAATTTCCAATGTTTGAGAATTGAAAATTTGTTATACTTTGAATGTTCAGATAAATGTCAGCCAATCTTTTTTTGAAAGCTTGAATTTTTAATAATTTTATATAGTAATTGATCACCCAGGCACTTCATTTTAAACAGTGTTGTTTGTCAGTACAATTAGAACAAGAAATATTTGATTCCTTGATTTTTGTGTTTTGAGAGCAATATCCCGAGTAATCATATAATTAAAACATTTAAATTCCAGTTTAACTCATTTCTCCCCAAAAACAATAACTAATCCAGAAATAATTACTGAGCAGAAATATTAAAAATAAAACCCCAAATGTATCTGTGGTAATAATGTTGTTAAATGATCTTTTCTACCTAGAATAATCCTGGAATTCAATAATTGTACAGGTTGTAATAAACTTGATATATATTAACTTTTAAATTACAAAATTGGCAGTACTAGAATTATTGGATTAACTTCATTCCTGTTACACAGCTTAAAATTCCTGCATTAGTCATGCCAACAGAATATGGAATACCAGGGAAAATGGTCACATGTAATTTCGTATAGTTTTCATTGTGTAATCTTCAAGAAGAGTTTGCAACAAGGAATTTGAATGGCTTTTCTTTCCAGTCTTAATTTCCATACTTCGTGCATGTCTTCTATACTTACATCAACCCACACAAACTTGTTAAAACAGTGCAATGTATTTTCTTGGCAGAAACAACTCTGTCAAAACAAACAAACAAAAAATTAAAAGCACATCTCAGAGACAGCTCCATCATAAATATTTCTGTGTTGTAGCTAACTAGTGTCCTGCAATTTAAATATTTGATCACATTCTTACTCCAAAGCAGACCTACATTTATACAGTATATCTTTTTATCCAATTTATATAGCTGTACAGCTCACCAAAAGTGACTTTGGGCAGTATACAATAAAGGTAAAAAATAATGAATAAATACTTCTATACTTATTATAGAAACTATAAAAACAAATATACAAGGAAACAACAGACAAAGGGATGTTAATAATAAAGCCATCTTACAAGTCCACCCATCCTCTGGGATTCCCAGACTTGCTGGCATAACCAGGTCTTAAGGGATCTTTGGAAGCTCAGAAATGCTGAGGCCAAACTTACCTCAGGAGGGAGAAGATTCCGTAGTGTTCAATGGGATTTCTACCTGCTTTGTAAACTTCAAGAAGTCCTAAAAAAGGTTCTTACTTTTCTGACAGGAAATGATTCTCCAACAAGAAATGCATGGTAAGCAATGGAGAAAATAGGACTATGTCATACATGTTGTATAGACAACTGTTCCCACACTGCCTTAACTGCATGTTTCTTTGTCCATTTCTGCTATAAAAAAAAAAAGGACTTGAGTTCGACTCTTTCCTTCCTTTACAAAAATAGAGGGGTTTTTTGCTTCCTTTTCATCCAAATTGTTGTGCTATGATTAGAGAAAAATGCTTTATTTAACACAAAAGCAGCATTTTAAAAGAGAAATATGAACCCAAACCTACAATTTTTCAAACTATGTTCAAACTATGAAGTTCAGGGTATTTACAGTTTTATACATACGAGGAATTGGGTAGTATCTTAATTATAATGAAAACTGCCACCTTTCTTGTTTGCATTCAGTGACTGAAATGGGCTGCACATGTTTTGATTATAAGAGGAATATCTACCAGATTTTATATATCAAAATGTTTGCCAAAACTGTCATTAAAATAAGCCAGTACAAACATATGAATGTTCTGCAGTGTTGTCAAACAAGCCTTAAATGTGTTCCCTTATAACCTAATGCAGGCCTTTCTTCTTAAGCAAACCTCAACCTTGATTACCAGGGAAGACGGACAACAGCCTAAATGATCTATTCCATCTTTATGATTCTAGATGTGAGCAATATTCTGTATTTGGTTTAAATCCAACTAAGGATACAGTCTGATACTATTAAACGATCTTCTCTTACAAAATAGTTAAACACATCTATACAGTATTTTTCCCTAACCTGCTTCATCCACGTGTCTTCAGAGTCCGAGCCAGAAAGGGAGTTTATTTATTTATTAATAACTTTTATCCCGCCTTTACTACTTCATAAGTAACTCAAGGCAGTGGACATACTTAAAATACTCTTTCCTCCTCCTATTTTTCCCACAACAACAACTACCCTGTGAGGTGGTTTGGGCTAAAAGAGAGTGACTGACCCAAGGTTACCCAGCTGGCTTGTTGTCCAATACTTATAACACATGGCTAATGTATCTCAATAAATTAATTGAACTTTAAAAAAAATCATGAATATCTAGACTAGAGTCTCTAAAGGTTAATGTAATTCAAACTAGGAAATTGTAGAATGGTCATTTCCCCAGATAGATTTTGTATGTTCCTTTGTAATGTTTGTTCATTCATATTGAGTCATTTCTCCTCCACCTCCATAATCTGTAGAGAAGAAAAACAAGGAGAGAAAAATAATTGTAATAAAGCAGATTAATATCTTCCACGCACATTCTTTTCTTCCCATTCCTGATGTTGATAAAAAAAGGCTATCATTTATAGCAGGTTCATCTCTTCCTATCAGTGTACCTTCCTAAGCTAATCCATCAAACTCCATGGGAGACCCGAAAGAGGAAGGGCAGCTTTCCTGTGGAGAATGTGAAGCCCAATTACACTTACACACACACACACACACACACACACACACACAGAGAGAGAGAGAGAGAGAGAGAGAGAGAGAGAGAGAGAGAGAGAGAGAGAGTCATGTTGCAGGATACATATTATTTCTTTGGCTCCTTATCAGTTCATTGACATTTCTAAATCTATAAGGTGATACACTCTTTAAAAAATGATGCAGTCACATTAATGTTTTTTTTTTCTGTCTATCCAACCCATTGAGACAAGCAGCCCAATGAGTGGACAAGAGGATTTCCTGGAAAAGGAAAGCCATGAAAGCAAGTCTCCAAGAAAGGGGCAATAACATCATACCAAGTTATTGCAGTAAGCATGCTTTTCCAATTCACATTTAAGTGAACCCCGAAAAGAACGCCTTCTCTTTTCAAACAGCAGTTTCTTGATCAGAACTGGACTTTTCATGTTTCCTTTTCATCTTGCAGAAGCCATGGAGCCCACAGAAGCAAGCCAAGGTGAATTGGGGCATCCCCTAGGAGAGGCAAGGGACAGGAGCATCCAAAGGAAATCTGTGTCGAGTAAGATAAAAGAGAGAAAGGACTGAGATAGTTCCCCTCTATCAAACAAGATGTCTCTTGCTGTAAATTTGGGTCAATATTTCTGGTCGCTACCGAGATAGAAAACTACAAATGTTCTATATTTCATAGTGGGAATTAGAAGCTATATTATTTAGTCCCATCTCTATCATGCCATGTTATCAATGAGTCAATGTCCAGTGACTCATATTATCTTCTTGTGACTGCTATAAAATCCCTTATAAATTTCTGACTCTCTCTTTTATTAGAATTTTTAATATAATAAAATATACAAAATAAACAAGAAAAAAGATAGAAAATAAGAAATAGAGAAACAAGAACTTTTAAAAAAAAACAATGTATGTATGTATGTATGTATGTATGTATGTAATTGTGACTTCCACCTTTCTATTCAGTAATTGTCCTCTTAAACTTTCCCACTATCTCTTCATCTCATTTTTACATATTTCTGGTTCTCAATGTCACTTCTGTACAGATAAGTATTCATTTCCCTTATATTATTACCCTGGCTAGCTGAGATCACACATTAGGTTCACCCCTATCTTGTTTAACCATGTTTTGCTGGCTGGATTTGTACAATAAAATATGTTATAAATCACATTTAATGCCACACTTGATATATTTACCTAATACACTAAGCCATAATGTAATTTGTTGTAGTTAGCCTTGAAGTTGTACACTTCACAGTGAACACAAAGAACATTTCATTGTTAGCATTAAAACATAAAAAACTAAGAATCAATGTGCTGATGGCTTAATGGGACATTCCAGGATCATCTGCCAATGTAAGGACTAAGAACAGCCTATATGTTTTATTACCTTTGAAATAAGATTAAACATGAGCACAAAAACTTAGTGTATTAGCATCTGTGATTTGCAGGGGGGACTCTCCCCCCCTTTCATTAAGCAGCATTTTGGAAAGAAACCTTTAGTAAGCAATCTTCTCTATTCAATAAATCCTGATTAAGATATTGTAGAAGATAATAGGCTAATGGTAACACTCATATCATACTTTTGAATCTTCCTTATGAGGACTATTTTCTCCATAATACAGTGATTATCTTTATTTTGAAGACATCCAAGCAATTTTGGCCGTGATGTTCTGAATATAGAATCCTGCATCACTATGTGCCTGCTTACACAATATTCTGAAGCACCTTTTCAGAAACTAGAATAATATATAATATAAAAACTCCTTAAGAATCTGAATGATAGTACACTGTGCTGAATATTAGTATTAAAGGACTCTGCAGTTAATTATACATTGTGATGATTAGCAATGCAATATTTTACTTAAAATATTTTCATATCGCTTTTCAAGCCAAAGTCATTTATAAAGATTTATGAAGTAAAAAGCAGAAAAGAATAACATTATATTTAGTGACAGAATTACCAGTGGTCTTTGATAAGATCCAGCACAGCAATTCTTATGTTTATACAAAATGAATGTGTTACAATGAGATTCAGTTTTAATCACTGTTATAATTGTATCCTAGTTTTATAAATTCTACCCTTCTTGCACCCAAATTTTAGAAAATTTTGAATGAATTACTCAATAATCTCAAAACCTGCTGGAGTAAGTGTAACTGAACACTTTACATAACACATAGCAGAACTGTTAAAATCTCGCATTTCTATTTCATTGAATCAAACGTGAGAAGAGAATATACGGTATCTATACTAAATAATGTTTTTCTACCTTGGCAATTCTAAGTCATGTGGGCTTTCACTTCCAGAACTCTCTAGCCAGCATTGCTTTAGACACTTGATAAGGCATCCTTCTTCAAACAAAGAAAAGACGCTCTGATAAAAAGAGTGCACAAAAACTGAAACTATGCCAGTACACAAGTCACATATCCACTATCCTCAACAGTCCTGCCATATTACTCCATTCCTGATTTTCATGTATAAAGTAGCCAGGTTTCCTAAACATATGGAACTCAAATCATAGATTTTGGAACTTATATATACAGAGATGTGTGAGAGTTAACATGGGGTAGTAATTAAGGTGATAGACTGGTATTGGGGAGACTCAGGTTCTAATCCTCCCTTAGGCATGGAAACTGGCTGGGTGACTTTGGGCTTTGAAAAGGGGAAAACATCTATTTACCAACTAAAGCACACAGGAACAGTGTGGTAGATTATGCTCTTTAACTTCAGCAAGAATACCTTCATTCCACAGTCAATTGATTTGGCCTCATAATATTACACAGATTTATGTTCTTAGTGAATTCCTAAGTGGGCAAAACCAGGATTCCTTCCGCTCACCCATATATAACCCCAAGCAAAGTGGCTCTCTGCTAATACTAATAGCCAATATCTCAGAAGATAGGCTCAAGATCCAGAAGGATCTTGACAGACTTGAACACTGGGTCCTATCTAATAAAATGAAATTCAGTTATGAGAAAAATAAAGTTTTATACTTAGGCAAGAAAAACGAAATGGACAGGTATAGAATAGGTAGAATGTGGCTCAATAGCAGTAACTGCAAGGGAGATTTAGGAATCCTAGTGGACAACTACTTAAGTATGAGCCAGCAGTGTGCTGCTAAGAGAATCCTAGGCTGCAATTGTAGAGGGATAGAATCAAGATCATGTGAAGTGTTAGAACCACTTTATAATGCCTTGGTAAGACTACACTTGCATCCAGTTTTGGTGGCCAAAATATAAAAAACATAAAAAAGATGTTGAGATTTAGAAAGAGTGCAGAGAAGAGCAACAAAGATGATTAAAACATATGAAGAACGGTTGCAGAAATTGGGTATGTCTAATTTAGTGAAAAGAAGGACTTGAGTGGCATTAGAGCAGTCTTCCAATGTCTGAGCAGCTGCCACTAAGAAGAGGTAGTGAAGCTATTCTCCAAGCACCTGAAAGCAGGACAAAAAGCAATGGATGGAAATTAACCAAGGAGAGAAGCAACCTTAGAACTAAGGAGAAATTTCCTGACACGTTTCTTGAAAACGTTTTGCTTCTCATCCAAGAAGCTTCTTCAGTTTGGTTCTTCTTCTGAAAAAGAAGCTTCTTGGATGAGAACCGAAATGCTTTCAAAGAAAAAAAAAGCAGAAAGTCCAATTCCTTTTTAAAAAACACCTTTGGGATAAGATAAGAAAAGAAAAAGAAAGCAGAAAAAGAAAGAAAAAAGAGAGAAATATATTATACTATTATTATGGCCCAGACCTGATGCAAGATACTCTGTGATCTACCTTTGGGGCAAGTGGGCTGCATTGCAGTATCTGTTTGAAGGCAGTACCAGGCAGAGTGGCAGTAGAAGTTGGAAAACAAAATAGTTCTATGCTCTGTTCTGACCATCTAAGCTGGTCTGACGCTCAGGGGTGCAAGTAGAAGATCTCTTGTGCTGTCTATCACCAATCCTGAAGGAACAATCAGTAGCCAAACTGGGCAGCTGGGAAGGAATGCTCCTCTTTGTTCCAGGCAACCTTAGATCTCTTGCTGGTTCCAGAAAAATGTTAGCCTCAAGTCCAAACTTATCAAGGTGTAACACAAGGCAATATGAACTATTGCTCAGCAATCCCTCTCATGAGCTTTAGTTTTTTGTTAAAAAAAATTAAGTCTAGAGCCAGAACTGGTTGTTAGGATCACAGAGCATTTAACAGAGGCCTAATAATTCTTTGGCTCACACAAAGGTTGTGAAGCAAAACCAAACATGCCAAGCCTAAATGTCTTGACTGCATCCTGCCAAAAACTGCCCCCACCTAAGTGAAGCATTCAACATCTGCTAATTACCTCAGCCAAATTAAAAATAAAAAAGAGGCAGCAAAAGCCAAAATCCTGTTGAGATGGTTGCTTTTCAATAGCTCGGCTAGCACTCGGGACATGATTAAGCCCTCCAAGGTTACCAGGAATATTTGACTGACCTTCTAGCTTCAAATACAACTGCTCAGCATTAATTAAACAGCCCTTCAGCACCTTAGATCAGTCCGTTCCACACAGCAATGACAATTGCATCCCTCCCCCCTAGTAACCTGGGAACCAGCCGACACTACTTTTATCCTCTCTGCTTCAGCCTGACCTTGTCTTTCCAGAGAAGGAGCCTGCCTTCAGCACAAAGCAGCCCCAATACAGATAAGCCCAGCCCTTTTAATTCATGGCTGCAGCTGCAGCCTCTCTCTTCCCTTCCCCCATCACTTTTATTTGACAGATTTCTCTGTATACCTGTCTGCCTGGCTCCTGCTTTAAATAAAGTCCAGATATTTCCTTTGAAATGCACAGAACAATGGCAAGAGGTTGTTTAATGAGGCTTCCTTTTCTGCAAGGTTTTGTGAAACAGACAGTCTTCATCTTACTGCATCTTTCTGCCACTTTTATTCTGTGCATAGCAAAAGATTTTCTGGATGTAACAATTGGAAGAGAGCAAAGATCAGTCAGATGAAGCTTTTGGAAGGCAACTACAAGGTGAGCTCATTCCTCATGATCTGCAATTTTGCTGCCACCAATAAAGGTTAGAATACAATTTTCAGCATCAAGGACCAAAGTAGAAAAATATAAACACAAGGGTTTGATATATAGCATGTAGGGCTTTATTACATTTCTTACTGCTCCATCTATCCATCCATCCACCCATCCTCCATCCATCCATCTCTATCCCTGCCTATCCATCCAGGGGCATCCTTAGAGAGATTTCAGAAAATTCAAGATGATGGATGTGATCGTGGGATCAAAGTCCCACCCTTTTAAAGTGCATTAATCACACAGTCATGGCAACAATCATAACCTTTTGGTACCCCATTTCTACAACATGAGACTGAGATCACAACTCACTACAGCAGAATGATCACTGGAACAACAGGTACTGGTTTAAAAAACAAGAGACTGAGAGATTGTGGGCCTCCCTTAGGCATGAAAGCCAGCTGGGTGGCATTGGCCCAGTTCCAAATGGAAGATTTCAAAACTTAATGTAGATTTTAAATAAAGTTTTCAGGATAAATGCTCAACTTGCTGTTCAAACTGGAAGAA